CGCTATGTTTTCTTTCTTTTTTTCTTCTTTTTAAATCAGTTCTTTTCTTATCAGGATTAAGGCACAAAACTGCTTAAAATAATTACACAAAAAAGGTGCAAATAACTTACTTTGCCTGAGAGGAGCATGGAGGGTTGACTGAATTAAAGGGGAATTACACTGTTCACCTATCAGCTGTCCTGTACAATTTCCCTTTCCCTTTCCCTTCGTGCATGAAATGATGCATGCAATAGGTAATTTTTCTCTCGCGTTTCAAGTATGCGATGGATAAAAAGATCATGGGCTGCCCTTATCGCATGTTCTAGCTAGGCGTTCGAGGTTTGCATGCGGGACTACAATGTGATCCACAGTACATGGTTTGCAGAGGTGTAGCCAGCTTTTCGACTAATTGTGGGCTTGGCTGGCTTTCATTTCCACCTATCCTGAAAATTGTACGCATGGCTAGTACGCAGTGACCTCACCAACACTTTTGGCTCTTAATATAAGTTTTTTTTTAGCTCACCCCAACAACGCATAATTTATTACAAACAGTAGACTGGTCAAACCAAAAATTTGTAGTCCCAGGCCTTCAGGTCTATGGGCTGGCTACGCCCCTGATTGAAGTTGTAGTACTTTTGAAGTATCAATGATGTTTCGTTTCAACACTTCTGTACTTTGCTCAAGAGAGAATAAATAGCTTTATACTTATCCTCTCTTGCTTTGCTTTAACGCACTCCGTTACAAAAACTTTCTTCTTAAGGTGGCTATACACAGTTTTGGCAGTTTGTGAGTATATGTCATTTGTCAAATCATGGCAAGAGAAAGGTTGTAGCTCACAAGCTGAAACTTGGCAGGTGAAAAATATACCGATGAAAAATTTTGATCGACAGGTAAAATGTGACGTTTTGTTGTTTCCATGGCAACAGGAACGATTGAGCACAACCTTAAAATTTTACTTTTGCTCAGTTTACATAAAATTCGCTCATTAGATTTTCCTATAAACTTGCATGCAGCTTACTATAAGTAATCATTATCATTTGAAGCTTATTTGACCAAACTTTAACAGACGGGTTTTTAGATAATCAATAATATAATTGTATCGTAATAATTAAACGTATCACAAAATTCGTCTGTTCTACTTCCATTTTAAAGTTCTCATTAATTAAATACGATAAAAGTCAAAATTTTAATGAGTAGATTTTTGAGAAACCGTGCTCTGCGTACCAATGCTTTTTTTCGCCGCCGTGTTTGTTTGCCTAATTTAAAACACGCGCCGTTACGCAAGTTACCGCTGACTGCCCGCAAAACTTTGTTTTAAATCATTGTTTTATTTCAGAGAATAAAGACCAGTTTGACAAATATTCGTGGAGGACTCTTGATAATTTGGGCGGTTCCTACGATGATCAGTCCGTCACGCATTATGATTATTACCAAAAACGGCAAACCCACCATTGTAGCCATTGGAAACGCCGAGAATGTGGAATTTGGAACTCCGAATAACCTTCTAAGTACCAGAGACGCAGTCAAAATCAATGCTTTATACAACTGCAGAAGTGAGTAGTTATGTTCTAAAGTACCACATTTCGTCCAACTGGCGCACGTGGAAGTGCATAAGCAAAGGGGAGTTCTACTTGAGGGGCCAGGTTTATAGTATATTGTATACTAATCATGAATTGTAAATGTTTATCATTATCATTATCATTGTCATTATCATTATCATTATCATTATCATTATCATTATCATTATCATTATCATTATCATCACCATTATTATCATCGTTATCATTATCGTTCTATCGTTATCGTTATCATTATCATCATCGTTATTATTATCATTAACAACTATTCTTTGAAAGCGGCGAGGTAAATATTCCCAAAGCCACTATTCACCGAGATTGAAAAGAATAATTGTTTTAGTATATACACACGAAGTGATCTCAACAAAATCAGAGAGGAAACCATTAAAAAGTACGATTTGATTGACAGATCAAATCACGCGTAAGTTTAAAAATAGATCTTTGCAGAATTTTCAAACATGGCAATTCACAAGTTTATTATTTCGCAAACAACAGCGTAATGGCTTTAAAGGAACCGCTAAAAGTTTCAACTGTTTCCTTACCTGAGCAGAAAAGTAGAGCTTTGTTGTTTTCTGTTGACTCGCCACGTTTCTAGCCAAAAGGGCTTGTTGTGTCGTTCTTCGCATGAAGTGCTGGCAAAAATGGCAGCTCGGTTGCTCGAGGTTAGACGTCGTCTTCCTGTGTCATTCTTTTTCCTGTTTACTTGAAACGTAGAATTTCTACAAACATTTCCTTTTAAATTTGTTTGTCATAAATAAACTTCGATTTTTGAGCCCAAATTTTCTCGTTAGAAACCGCTCTTTTCACGAAACGGCTTCTTCTACGCGAATACACGGGAGTTGTAAAAAATCCATCGAGCACAAAACTCAGCTACAGTAAATTGAAAAACGCCGTATTGAATCCTTCCAATTCTTTTCTTGCCTTAAAAAAAGTCAGCCCTAGCATTTTGTCGACTTTTAAAAGATCGTTCTCTGAAAAAATGGGAAATACACCGAGCTCACACATTATCCACTCGCTAGGAGGTGAATATTATTGAATAGTCCGAGATAGCGAACCAATCAGATTGCTGAAATCACCAAGATCACTGAGTGTGTATATACTAATTATTATTATCGTTATCTTTCTATCGTTATCGTTATCATTACATTATTAAATTCCGCTCAGTTTTGAGTTCTTTCGGTGTCGTGTTGATGTCTTGCAGAGTTAATTTTCACGAAGTACGATCAACATTGCAGTATTCTGCTTGCAGAATTTAATATGCCTACTTTTCATTTTTGCTGATCAGGTCTTTGTAGATCCTACGTTCTTCAGCATATTCGTTTGCGGTCCTTTGCAATCCTTTGTGGTTAATGTTTGTATCATTATCATCATCATTATTATTATCGTTATCTTTATCGTAATCATTATCATCATCATTATTATTATTATCATTATTATTATCGTTATTATCATCATTATTATTATCGTTATCATTATCATTATCATTATCATCATCATCATTATTATTACTATTACTATCGTTATCGTCATCGTTATCATTAAAAAATCTTTATTTAAGTATCAGAACAATGAGTACTATTTACAATTTTAAACTATGTTTTTAAATTAAAATCTACATATATGTCCACGATAAAAAAACTATTTACAATTGTGAATAATTTAAAAGTGGCGAAAAGGAAAATTAAGCACTATTAAGAAAAAAAAACTACCAAAAATTTAGGCCTAAAATTATGAGTGCAGCTGTAGACCAGCTACAGCGAAAGTGAAGTCTTCTGAGACCTCACGTGATTTGAATTGGATATCTAGAACCTCTGATGCATCTGTGTACAGTTCTTAATATAGCAATTGAGAGCTGTATTCGAAGCCAGGAAATAACGCTGGCGTAGGGTTCATTATTCTTAGTCAAAAGCTTATTTGCGAGAGCTCTTAAAAAGTTCTGACAGTCGAGTCCCATGACCCCGTTTGTACCAAACACCAGTGGTGTAAACGTTCCCATCTCTATATCCATCACTCTCTGGTTGCATTTCCTCCTCTTCTCGTTGTCTTGCTCTTTGAAGATCTTAGCTGTGTACTTGCCCTAGTTGGACCGGGAATTAACATGCGTTACACATACGTCAAAGAATGCCGTTACTCCTGGTGTCCAAAAACCTCCAGCTTTCATATCCAGCCTCGCTTCTCGACTTTTAACAGTGGACTGAAGGTTGAATACTTCATTGTCGAGTGGTTGCAGGAGTGGCTCTGTCTCCACATTTCTACACACTTTACTGATGTGTGATGTCAGAAGATCTCGGATTGTATCATGTCTCTGAGCCACAAAACCTCCCTTCTTGCATGAAAACGCATGGTTGACAGTAAACATTTCTCCACAAGCACAGTAACTAGGGAGATTAGGCAGAGGGAGGTTGTAGCGAAGGCAAAGGGAGTCCCTAAACTCTTTCCGTCTTTCTTAACATACAGGCCATGTGGCGTCTAATGTGTACAAAGCGATTCAGGAATTCCACAGTAAAACATGCATCCGATTTCAATACTACAACAGGGCAGTCCATGGGGGTAACTACATTCGATTTGGAAATAGCGATGGGTAAGTTATCAAAAAGAGGAACTCAGAGGTGCGCTATGTTTTCTTTCTTTCTTTTTTTTTTCTTCTTTTTAAATCATTTCTTTTCTTAGCAGGATTAAAATAATTGCACAAAAAAAGGTGCAAATAACTTACTTTGCCTGAGAGGGGCACGGAGGGTTGACTGAATTAAAGGGGAATTACACTGTTCACCTATCAGCTGTCCTGTAAGATTTCCCTTTCGCTTTCCCTACCCCTCTACCTCCCCCCCCACCTCGCCCTTTCTTTGTCCTCCTGGTAAAACGCGCATGTGCGTAGGGGTACCTAACAACTTTGTTCTTTGAAGTGAATAACTGTTCAAATGAGCAAATATAACCATTTCCTTGCCTATTCCCCGTTTTCCCAGTCCCTCTCGGTCAATTCAATTCGGGGACGTATCCGAGGCGAACGGACGGGAAACATTACATCTTCGCTTGCACCTCGTTACCCGAGACGCTTTGACAGCGCGGAATAATGAGGCCTAGGGACTATGCAAAATATTTCCTAGAATTTTCTGAAGCCCGAGAAAGGCTAAAAATTTCTGGATAACCGCAGATATTAAGGGCTTTTTTTCTGGTATATAGAAAATGCAACTGACGGCTTCTCATGTCCTCGCACTTTCGTCCGACGCATCAGGGTAGCTGACAGTTTCAGGGGAGACCTGAACAAAATCCAGGGACCTTAAAACTGTCAAGACTAGAATTTTTCCTCTAAGACATCCCATTGGATAAATAGTTTTTGGAGCAGCTCAGAATTAACCACTCCGGCTTCTAAATCATCGAGAGAAAACCATTTGAGAAACTTCTGGAGCTTTTTTTCTTCATCTGAACGTTGTTTATCATTTTAGGTGTTTATCAAAGGTGGGAAAGCATTATGCTCAAAGTATCCCTCAAGAAATCTCCCTTGCTGATGGCTGTAATAACGTCCCAACGATCGTGCATGAAATGATGCATGCAATAGGTAATTTTTCTCTCGCGTTTTTATGCAATGGATAAAAAGATCATGGGCTGCCCTTATCGCATGCGAGGCGTTCGAGGTTTGCATGCGGGACTACAATGTGATCTACAGTACATAGTTTGCAGGGGTGTAGCCAGCTTTTCGACTAATTGTAGGCTTGGCTGGCTTTCATTTCCACCTATCCTGAAAATTGTACGCATGGCTAGTACGTAGTGACCTCACCAACACTTTTAGCTCTTAATATAAGTTTTTTTTAGCGCACACCAACAACTCATAATTTAATTCAAACAGTAGACCGGTCAAAGCAAAAATTTGCAAGCCCAGGCCTTCAGGTCTATGGGCTGGCTACGTTCCTGATTGAAGTTGTAGTACTTTTAAAGTATCAATGATGTTTCGTTTCAACAGTTCTTTAACGCACTCCGTTACAAAAACTTTCTTCTTAAGGTGGCTGAACACAGTTTCGGTAGTTTGTGAGTATATGTCATTTGTCAAATCATGGCAAGAGAAAGGTTGTAGCTCACAAGCTGAAACTTGGCAGGTGAAAAATATACCGATGAAAGATTTTGATCGACAGGTAAAATGTGACGTTTTGTTGTTTCCATGGCAACAGGAACGATTGAACACAACCTTAAAATTTCACTTTTGCTCAGTTTAAATAAAATTCGTTTATTAGATTTTCCTATAAACTTGCACGCAGCTTACTATAAGTAATCATTATCATTTGAAGCTTATTTGACCAAATTTTGACAGACGGGTTTTTAGATAATCAATAATATAATTGTATCGTAATTATTAAGTGTATCACAAAATTCGTCTGTTCAACTTCCATTTTAAAGTTCTCATTAATTAAATACGATAAAAGTCAAAATTCTGCCAAATATCACAAAATTTTAATGAGTAGATTTTGAGAAACCGTCTTCTGTGTACCAATGCTTTATTCGCCGCCATGTTTGTTTGTCTAATTTAAAACACGCGCCGTTACGCAAGTTACTGCTGACTGCCCGCAAAACTTTGTTCAGCCACCTTAACGCGGGTGAACCAAATTGTGAAATGTGAACAAGTCATGGCCGTCTACGAGGGTATTACTAAAGAGAGAATGGGTAGCGCGCATGGGAACTGCAAAATGAAAAAAGGGAGAATAGGCAATGAAGATACTGACAGGGGTAGGGTTGAAATTACCTTTTGTTCCCTTGCTTCCCGGGTTCATTTCCGTTCTTCGTTCCTCGTTTTAGCAAAGTCCTGTCCAGGAGTCCTGGTCCTGTCAGTACCCATGTCAGTAAATACAGGTACTAATCAGTGCCGGATCCAGATCTTGAGATAAGGGGGAGGGGGGAGGGGGCGGTCTCCAAAACGAATTTTCCGCCCTTCGAGCCTCAGTTTGGTCTAAAAATAAGGGGGGAGCCCGGTCCCCCGGGCCACTCCCCTGGATCCGTCACTGGTAATTTAGATCCAGTTGTATATAGCATCTTTCATATCTGCTTCAGGTTTCTTCTACGAGCAATCAAGAAGCGACCGAGATGAATATGTCAAGATCTATTGGGAGAACATTCTACCAAGTAAGATATTGTATACAGTAGTAAATCATACTTGCGTTGTGTTAAACGGCCATCAGCGACAGACAGCAAACTATTGTTGCAAACTGAAAGCTAAAAAGGTCTATTTATTTTCGACGACACGACTTTTCAGTCGTAGTTTTCAGGTTCGTCAATTGAAAATATTGGTTTTTTTAAACTAGTACTTTGAAATCTACGTGATATCTTTAGAAGTGTTCAGATATCTATTCTGACTTCACTAACACGAGAAAAGGAACAATTCTCGCTCCAAAACCATAAATAATCCGAAACTATCCCCTTGGAATCCCCCGCGCCCCTTAACCATATGTTAACCCTGCCGTCAGAATTTCTATTTATTTCTGTCCAATTCGTTCCCATGTTTCTCAAACGTCAGAAATTACATTTTTTTTGGCATCTTTCACCATTCCTGGGGTCGCAGTTACTTTCCAATTATTATAAAATGTATCAAAAAAGCGCTTTTGAATATTAGCATGATGGAGTAATATCATGAATTGCTCCTTCATAGTTAAATGTGCGCAAATATGTCTTTACAAGAAATACGTTAAGCCAAGTGTGTTACCTACCTACCCACTCTACCTACCTTGCCTACCCAATTTTGTTTTATTTTAGAGTATAAAGACCAGTTTGACAAATATTCGTGGAGGACTATTGATAATTTGGGCATGTCCTACGATTGTCAGTCCGTCATGCATTATGATAAATGGCAAACCCACCATTGTAGCCATTGGAAACGAGAGCATGGAATTTGGAACTCCGAATAACCTTCTAAGTACCAGACACGCAGTCGAAATCAATGCTTTGTACAATTGCAAAAGTGAGTAATTATGTTCTAAAGTACCATATTTCGTCCAACTGGCGCACAAGGGAGTGCATAGGCGAAGGGGAGATTTACTTGACGGGCCAGGTTTATGGTATATTGTATACTAATCATGAATTGTAAATAATTATCATTTCCATTATCATTATCGTTATCATTATTATTATCATCACCATTATTATTATCGTTATCGTTCTATCGTTATCGTTATCATTATCATTATCATATTAAATTCCGCTCTGTTTTGAGTTTTTTTTGGTGTCGTGTTGATGTCTTGCAGAGTTAATTTTCACGTAGTACGATCAGACCATTCCTGGGGTCTCAGTTACTTTCCAATTATTATAAAATGCATCAAAAAAGCGCTTTTGAATTTTAGCATGATGGAGTAATATCATGAATTGCTCCTTCATAGTTAAATGTGCGCAATTCATGTCTTTACATGAAATACGTTAAGCCAAGTGTGTTACCTACCTACCCATTCTACCTACCTCACCTACCTAATTTTGTTTTATTTTAGAGTATAAAGACCAGTTTGACAAATATTCGTGGAGGACTCTGGATAATTTGGGTGTGTCCTACGATTATCAGTCCGTCATGTATTATGATAGAATGGCATTCACCAAAAACGGCAAACCCACCATTGTAGCCATTGGAAACGAGAACATGGAATTTGGAGCTCCGAATAACCTTCTAAGTACCAGAGACGCAGTCGAAATCAATGCTTTATACAATTGCAGAAGTGAGTAGTTATGTTCTAAAGTACCATATTTCGTCCAACTGGCGCACAAGGAAGTGCATAGGCAAAGGGGAGTTCTACTTGACGGGCCAGGTTTATAGTATATTGTATACTAAACATGAATTGTAAATGTTTATCATTATCATTATCATTATCATTATCATTATCATTATCATTATCATTATCGTTATCGTTATCGTTATCGTTATCATTAACATCATCATTGTAATTATCATTATTATCGTTATTTTTATCATTATCATCGTCATTATTATTCTCATTATTATTATCGTTATCGTTATCGTTATCATTATCATCATCATTATTATTATCGTTGTCGTTATCGTTCTATCGTTATCATCATCATTATTATCATTATTTTTATCGTTATCGTTAACGTTATCGTTATCAGTATCATTATCATTATCATTATCATCATCATATACATTCCCCAAAAGTAATGATAGCAACATTTCAGGTTAAAACACCGTAGTTTTCAATTATATTTTTGTCCTTAGTATTGTCAGGCCGTTTTTTACATGAGGAAACTTTCAAAGTTTGATTTTAAGTGACGCGACACGAGGAAACATCTCTTTTTCAAAAACGTAGTGTTCCGCGCGATTTTGCTTTTTGTTCCTTTAATTGCTTTAGGAACAACCTAGGAACGCACAATAAAGGAACTTTATTTGCACAATAGGAACAAAGGTCGGCAAAATTCGGAACAATCTGGTCCGTTAGCAGCAAATTGGAACACAAAGTTCCTTTTCGTTTTAGTCAAAAGGAACAACTGGTTCCACTTTTATCCTTTCAGGAACAAAAAGGTCCTCTTTCAACAGTTCCGATTTCCCTTCATGTTCCTTTCGAAGTGATTGGGGAACAAATGTTCCCAATCTAATTTCTTGCTCTACACAGTAAGGAACAAATTGTTCCTATTTACTGGCATATCCACTGCTGTTCGGAACGCCTTGTTCCCTTTCGGTTCAAATTGTTCCTATTCATGCCCAACAGGAACGGAATTGTTCCTAAACGAGGTGGTTTTTTGTTCCTCAAGATTAGTGTTATGTTCCGCTTAAAAATGGGAACAGGTTCCGAATTTGTGACAAAGGAACTAGTGTTCCATTTTGCGCAAAGTGTAAAAAGGAATTGGGAACGATAGTTCCTATTTATCGTAGGCTATCTGAAACTACTGTCCATCACCTCCGCTATACAAATTTATCAAAACATGTATCCATCAACAATCAAGTTAAGTACGAGACTTGCCCGCTGCATGCTTAATCTTGTTTGGGCTTGCCCGCGCAAGTTCAGGCTTGTGTCTTTGTTCCTTTTGATTAATTGTGTACCAAATACGGACAAGAAAACAATGGGGCAAGGGTAAGAATTACCAAGTGTGGGCAGAGATAGGCTAACAACTATCTCATTGGCGAATAGGATGATCTCTTGGGGACCATTTTCCTAGTATAAGTGCATGCATACTTTAGAAAGATATCGATTTCAAGCTAATGCTTAAGATGAACAAACGAGGCAAGGATGTCAACTGGTCAAAGTTAGCAAATGCATCGCCTAAACCGAAGAGACTTCACTTAGAAGAGGATGACTGTGATGGTCTTTTTCACTGCCCAGTGCAAATTTGTAACCACGATGGATTCACTACGCGCAGAGGCTGTAGAAAACACGTAAAGAACAAACACGGTTGGTACTATTACTTCGACGAGAAGCCAAACAGTGCTCAAATGGAATCGTTTCACAATCAGTCCGAGAAAATTGAAGCCAACGATCGGACGATTCCACGTACAACGAGAGCAATTGCCTCATTCGACTTGAAAAACAACATTGCTAAGAGTTTTTTCTCATGGCTAACTGGCAGCGGCGGGGGTTGTAAAAGCGATCGACAAGCACAGCAAATTGTCAGCAGGTGTTTAAAGTTTCTAAAATTCTGTTGCGAAGACGAAGAGGAACTCACATTTGGCATTGTTGATTTTAGCCTATTTTCACCGAATCTCCTATTTAAACTCGTTGATACGATGCAGGATGAATGGAAACTCGGACACGCGGGACGGATAGGTTACTTGGACGCCATTGCAGAATTAGCGGATTTCAGAAAAGCAAACGGCGCATCAGAAACAGTATGGAGAGGCCTGTCCACAGCAGAAATGTACTTAAAAAGGGCACGAAAAACCGTCTCAAAGATGATGAGGTTGCAATGGACCAGCGAACTCGATATTGACGCTTTGGAAGCCAAGGGACACTGGGCCACCATGGAGGAGCTTTTAGAGGTGGTGGGGCGTTACTTGCCGCGCTACGAGAGCGTGCTTAAAACATGCAGGGTTAAACCAGATACTGTTTCCCCACTGGAATTATCGTTTGCTACCAAATTTCTGGCCGTCTATTTGTTTATCAAGGTTAAAGGCTCACGCCCGATGACATACCAATATCTAACCGTAGAAATGGTCGACAAAGCTAAGACTAACGGCGGATTCATAGACCAAAAACAATTCAAGACAGCTGGAAAGTATGGTTTTGATTCTCTTTTCCTGACAGACACCAGTATGCAAGTCCTAGAAGGTTACATCAACCACATTCGCCCACTTCTCAAGCCTAACTGTGAGTATGTTTTAGTCACGAGAAATGGTCGACAACATAACAAGCTAGGAGAAGCAATGAGTAAATTGGTGTTCGATGCAACAGGCAAGTATGTTCACCCAACTCGTTACCGCCAAATAGTGGAGACGGCAAGCTCTAGAACTCTCAGCAGTAGCGCGCAAGATGCGATCTCCGAGGACCAGAAACACAGCTCTGTTGTGGCAAGAGTTCACTATCAAAAACGGCGATCTCGCGAAGTCGCCAGCAAAGCACATGCATTTTTGGAAAGACTACAGGGCGAGAGGGGATCAGAGCTAGAGATGGACGTACGCTCTAGGCTGTCTGAGAATTCAAGTTCTTCACAAGAACAAGATGTTGGCAGAACCGATACGTCTTCTAATGACGAAGAAGACGTAATCACAGATACAACACGCGAGCCTTTAGTAGGAGTGCCAAAATTGAGGCGCGAAAATGCGTTCAGAGTGACCGAAACAAGCACGCGACGGAAGAGTTTAATGTTCACCCCCGAGGAAGACAAATTTCTCAAAGCTGGACTTAAACGGCACGGATTTGGGCAATGGAAAGCGATTCTAACGGACCCCGACTTTCAGTTCCAAAAGGGAAGAACGGCCAACTCTCTTCTGAGCCGAGCCGCTCGAAGATTTGGATCATATTCAAAATCGACGCAGCGCTGACAAGGTCCTACTTAACGAACGAACTGAAGGGCATGTAGCTATCTTAAATTCTTGAACTCAAATAAATGAATTATTGCAAACTTTAGCCCTATATAAAATGCGAGAAACAGCTATAGAAGGAAGAGATAATGTAAGCTAAATCCATAACGTCAACATGATTTATTTAATGACTGAATTCCTCGGCATGACCATGCCATCATGGGGCTTCGTAGACAACATGCAAAAATAACGTATTATTTGAAACTGACAACAACGTATTAATAATACAAGTGTTCTGTGGCGTAAAGGCCTTCAAGTTAGTTTAACTTAGCATATCTTAAATTGCATGTACGGGCACCTAAGTTGATCCTACTTTTTTACACGTTTCTGCGAACTGAAAAAGGTAGTCACCCGCTTCTGTCCCTCGGTTGTTTGGCTTCTCGAGAGTCTTGCTCGCTTCGAAGGTCTGTTGTCAGGTGAGGGTACTCGCCTCAGTAATGGTGAAGAGCCTGTGCAAATGCTTTCATCAAATGAGGGCTCGTAACAAGGTGTCTTCGGTGTAATGAACATGTCCTCGCTCTCCGATTCGACGGCCTCCTGGCTCGTAGGTGGAGTAAACATCGTCTGGTGCGTGTCCTCAGGCGGGTCGTAAGATGGTGTCTTTCGCGTATTACCATGGTCGTTTGAAGCCGTTGGTCTGGACATGTTTTGGTTGCTACCTTCGACGATAACCGGTAAAGGTGAGTACACATCTCTAATGGAACTCGCGTACCCTAGATCCACTAATCCACGTTTCACACAGATTTCTTTCCTTTTTTCCACGGCCATCTGCAGGCGAATGGTACCTTGTTTTTCGTGAAATGCGCGGAGTTTCTCACAATCAATCTCTAAAAGACTCGTCAGCGTTGCACTCATGTCGGGGTCTGTGCCTCTCTCTAAACGCATATTGTTCTCGGCCATCTCTTTTTCTATTTCTAACAGCCACGGATTAGAGAATGCTTTTTTTACTTTCTCTTGCTCATCTCTTTCCCTTTGCTTTTCGAGACGTTCTGCCCTATCATTCAAGGCCTGTTGTTCTCTGCGAGCGAGGTCGGTTGGTAGTGGCTCGTCGGGATGCGTAATCAGTCGATCTGCCTGCGATTTGCTGGTCACTCCCAAATTTACTAGATATCGTCGACGTCCGGCGATTTGACGATCTTGGATGGCTTTGTGCTGTGTTTGAGCGTTTCGCAGGAGCATGCTCAGTTGTCTGTGCCGAAAATCGCTTTCGGCTTCACTCTCCTCTTCATCCGTGAGTGAGATTTCACCGCCTTCCGTGTTGCACTCGGGGGCGTGCTCGTCCAGTAGGGAAACGGACAAAATTCTCTGAATGTCTTCACTTTCTAAACCGTCCTCACGCTCTCCTAAAGTCCTTCCAGTCTGTGCGGTAGTGGAGTTTGTAGCAACCATCTTTTGGGCCCATACGATGCAGTCCATTGCATGTTCTCGCAACCACTGGTTGGCCTCCGGGTTAACTTGCGGCAAGCTTCTGAAGAAGTACTTGTGAAGTCTTCGGTTCATCGCGTCATTGTGGGCCTCGCCAAAGTCCATCTCCTGTTGACATGTAATGTACATACTTGCACGGCAGTGGAACCACTGGGCCTTCTTCCATTTCACATCGTGGGATGTAAAACCGCCTTGACAAATTATCTTCCAGTCATCTATGTCGAGCAGGTTGTTGTATGCCTGGTCGAGAAAGATAACTTCCGTGGAGCTGTCAATCATCGACTTGTTAAAGCTCTTCTGTTTGGTCACGCGAGCGATTCGGCTTAACGGCACAATTTGAAACACTGGACTGAACAGGCTCGTTTTGCCGCTGTCAGAAGCTCCGATGGCACATGGCACAGGTCGCTTATGTTCTTTATCTCTGAATAGCGCGAGAAAATCAGCGCAAAACTGTTGTATTTGCCCTTCGGGTAGGCTATTGGTTAGAATTTGCTCGAAGTATTTAGGATCGGGCTCTTGGAGGTTGTCATAGTGGACATACGCTCTTGGTGATGTGATACCTCGCTGTAGAAAAGAGAAAAAAAAACTGTTAAAACATACAGACATGTAATAAATAGGTAAAAGAAGAAGTAGAAACCTTTACCCGCCAACAAACTAGGAGTAGTCCTAGATTAGGTAACTCGAAACTGAATAGCACTTGATTTGACATATTCCAAGGTTAAATATGGTGTATAGTAATAGACAAACGACTTTTCTATTGAACAGATACCTTGTCATTTTAGCCAGCAGATAAATTGTAGCCAAGAAAATTGTGATAACGGAATTAAAACAACCTTTACTGATGAAAACGTATGCTCTCACCTCTGATTCTGGGATCACTCCTTGTACAAAAGCTCCTTCAGAGAAAGACCAAAACCAGCCATTCTGCACTTCAACCAAGTTTCGATCTATTTTAAGTTGGCCAATCAGGGAACTTTCTGGCTCACGCAGAAGTGGTAGAACTCGTTGAAAATGTTGGACAAGCCTGTCTTTGAAGCACTCGTTCCCCATAAGATTTAACAGAAATGACTTCATGGAGCAAAGAAACTTGAAAGTAAATTGTGATTCTGCAACTTTCTTGTACACATCTCCCCGGTAGACACTAAACTGAAGCTTTTTCATAGCGGCATGGATGTCGTTACAAAGAACTGTTAGTGGGCAAGACAATGGCTTATGTGGTGTACACGGTATTTCTACGCCCGGGGTGCTGCTTTCGTTTTCATGGAGACCAAAACAATCGATTTTCAAACCAGCGCGGCGCAATTCTCGGGCAGATGTAGTCATTAGTTTGAATTCTTCCCTAAGCACTCACACCCAAACCACATTTTCTGTTGACAACATTTCTTGAGACTGTTTGTCATCACAAATATCTATTTCGTCTTGAAGGGCGCTGTCAATAAAGAATAAAAAACAGACAAGTTTACTATCTCAGAATAAATTTTTGACTAGCGCATCAAAGTTTGAATTAACGCTCTTTTTCGTGTTAAAATTCCCAGATGGTCTAAATCGCACTTAATTAGCCACTTGCACCCTTGCATATTGTTACTTATTTGAGTCAAGACAGTTAATTAGAGACATTGCTTGACTACGAGAAGATGGCAACAATAAGGGTGGACTCCTAGCTGTTGATTTCTTTGGTTAACTATAGCCTTTACTATAACAGTTTTGCATAGAGTATACTAACCTGAGACAATGCTGATAAGAAGCCTCCACAAAATTCATCAGGCAAGGATTCTTGTGATCTTTTAAAACTTGGCAGAGTTGGTTTAAGTCGTGAGAATTTTTTTTCCTTGATGCCCTGGAAAGATAGAACTCGAGCCCGCATTTCCCAAGAGCACGTTGAATTTTCATGGGATTAACAGCTGAACCATTTTGAGTTTGGCAAGCCACCCAATACGAAATTGCTGGGAAAACTTGCTTTCCAGGCGTTGAAATTTGCGAGGGGTTTATGGCAGATTCTTCGTTTGACTCGTCGTTTTCTCGTCCTTCATCTGATGTTGTTGATTTTTTCTTTTTGCTGTCAAGCTTTGAGGTGCTTATTGCCGAAAAGAAAAAGCAAACCTCGCTCAGTTTCGACAATTCCAAATCACATTCATCTCGCTTTTCGCAGATCCAATACCAGGCTTGCTGAATTTCTTCATCGCTTACTCTCCAAACACACTTAAATGCTACAACAGAACACGTTTTCTCAATTGCTGCTACTATGTGACACTCCACTTTATCCCTTATAACTTTGCTGTTTAGCTGCGAACAAGGCTTGCTCATCTTGACTAGCCAACGAAGTCGAGTAAAAGCCCTTTTTCAAGGCCTCTTAGCCATGTTATATCTAGCACAATACTTACGGGAATAGAACAAGTCTGTGCCATTGGCTGGATTAGTTGACTGAAAGTGCGAGCATAAATTAACCTCAGTCTGACTCAATTATTCAGTCCAAATACGCCTTACACACGATAACCGGTATTCCCTTCACACACGAAAAACATTAGCAAACTACCTGTGGAACTAAATCTTAACGGTACTTGTTAAATTTATTCTTGCTTTTGGTGTCTAAAAAGAGATAAGAGTAAACCAAGGGTATGATCTGAAGACAAAAAACAAGGATCTTGAAATCAGTATCAGATGTTAAAGTGTACAGCGATTTAAGCGTAAACTACGGATATGGTCTGAATATTAATATCAACGATCTTGAAATTGCTTTTTAATGTTAAAGTGTAAAACGAGATAGGCGTAAACTACGGATATGGTCTGAATATTAATATCAAGGATCTTGAAATTGCTTTTTAATGTTAAAGTGTTTAGCGAGTTAAGCGTAAACTACGGGTTTGGTCTGAATTTAATTAACAACAAAAACAAGAATAATATAAAATAATAATAAATAATAATAATAATTTATTTTATTATTATTATTATTATTTTATTTATAATTATTATTTTTTTGAATTTTTATTGTCTTTTTTTTAAAATTAAGTTAATTAATTCAGTCCATCCCCGTATATCACGCTTATCTCGCTGTACACTTTGACATCAAAAAGCAATTTCAGGATCCTTGTTGATAGTATTCAGACCATACCCGCAGTTTACGGTTAAATCACTGTACCCTTCAACATCAGATACTGATTTCAAGATGCATGCTATTAGTATTCTGGCCATATCCGTTGTTTACGCTTATATCGCTTTTCACTGTAACATCAGTAAGCAATTTCTTAACCTATCTCTTTAGTATTCAGGCTATTCCCGTGTTGTTAGCTTATCCTGCAATAAACTCTGGGATCGGAAAAGTCTTCAGTAACCCATGCTTCTCACTTTTCGTATGTAAACAATGCAACAAATAGGAGTATTAGTCTAGCAGCAGCAGCAGCAGTACTAGTAGTTGTTGTTGTTGCTACTTTTAATTTGTAGCAAAATCATTAGAAAAATGAGAGAAATTGGTTTTGTGGGAATTTCTCTTGTTAGACCAAGTGAATAGCGTGTTTAACGTGAACAGCGTGTTTGCTTTTCCTAGGCTTCTTTAACTTTAAGGACCGAAAGAGGAAAGGGAACTAAAATTTTGGGGAATGATCATTATTATTACCATTATTATTATCATCATCATTATTACTATCATTATTATTATCGTTATCATCATCATTATTATCATCATTATTAATGTCGTTATCGTTATCGTTATCGTTATCGTTATCATTATCATTATCATTATCATTATCATTATCATTATTATTATTATTATCGTGATAGTTATCGTTATCATTATCATTATCATCATCATTATTATTATCATTTTTATTTATTATTATTATTTTATTTAGGAATGATCAGTGTTTTTGGGTTTCCCTAACGGGGATTTTCATGTTACTAGAGATTTGAGGGACGATCCTGGGGGTACTCGCTATGATGGCCTATACGGGGAGGCTCCGCCCGAAAGGGGTACTTTTTTCAGGCCTCAGGTATATGAAAGGGTAGGGATTTTACTCGTTGATGTATAAAAGGGTAATGAAATCTGTTATTTGGGTCTGTGAAAGATCTGAAAGGGCCCAAACGGGCTAACAGATGAATCTTATGGCTTTATAAATTCGAGTAAACGTTCTATTTTTGTGATTGATTCTTATTTAAAAGACAGTGCATTAACAGCAGTTAAAAGGGATGCAAAGTTCTAAACAAGGTATGTGAAAGAGGTACCATTTGTCAATAGAAGGTATACCAAAGGGGTACCTTTTTGGAGAAAAATTATATATTAAAGGGTAAGAGGTTGGACCTCGGTGCGGAGCCTCCCCGTTTATGTACAAACAGTTATTAAGTAACCCCACCCCCGCGGGGGGTACGATACCCAAAACACGGGGATACCCAAGTCACTGTAGTCTCCTTCGCAGCCGTTATTAGGGTCGTCACTCGTCACGCAACGCTCCTCCCCACGTGGGGAGGAGCGTTGCGTGACGAGTAACGACCCTAATAACGGCTGCGAAGGAGACTAAAGTCACTGTGACATCGCAACTTTTCAAACACGCCCTTCGGAACCACGACCGCGCTGGCGCGAAAACATACCTTTACCTCGACCTCTTGCATAGTAATTATTACTACAGTATTTATCCTGTCTCGTCCAATAATTGAAAAGTAGCTAGGGGAGGTACGAAAAATCGTTGTCTTAAGTATACTCCTTCCCTTAAAGTTTGGAAAGTTCACGCCATGGTTGTGCTATGACGGCAGAGAAATCCACTGGAAAAAGTGTGATGCATGAGCCGAGTTCTCGTTTTGCTTGTTTTAAACTAAGTTATTACTGCTTAAATTGTGGACGTTCTAGATGCCGTCGAGTATAGTCTCTTATATAATCGGGGCCGTCTATGCTTACTATCAACCAGGCCCGGGTTGTTCAAACGTTAGATAGCACTATCCAACGGATAAATTACTATGCAGAGGATAAGTATTAGCGAAACCAATTGCGCTATTCAGTGGATAGAGATTTATCCGACGGATAGAGGTATCCACCATTTTAACAACTGGGGCCAGGGATTAATTTTTTCAAAACTTTTACAAGTGCAATTTATAAGAGTAGCTATTGTTTTCAGACTCCAAAACATCTTTTCATATGATGTGCAGGGTGATCTCTTTGTAAAGGACAACATCTTGCTGAGGAGTGTTAGGGCCAGTTTACATGAAGGTGGTGGTCCCACGGTAGGCGAAGTAACCTGCTTAGGTGGGGTAACAACCTCGGGTAACCCTCCCAGCCGGGGTCAAACGTTCTAACGTGGGGTAACCCGCCTAGCCGGGGACGGATTCTTTTCACGTCAAATTCGACTAATTCAAACCACAAAAAAAGCTACAGCTAGCACTAAAAGGGTGGGCCTGAAGCTCTAAGAAAGGCTCACAGGATTAGTTTAGAAAACAATAGATAGCCCTAACCCAAACAAAACTAACAATCAACCCCATCTCTGAAACAACAGAGCTTCGGGCCAACAAAAACCTATCAAATTAGAGGTTGTAAAGAGGTTCTGGCTAACAGCACTAAAAGGGTGTAGCAAGAGCAGAAAGTGAAAGAAGAAGAGTAATGTCGTTTGCTCGCCATTCAGTTTTCAGTGTGAACGTGTTTAGCGACCATTCTATAATCTTGCGAAAGCTAACTGAACGCCGGGATGGCGGGGTTGTAAGATTGCTTGTCAACGGGGTTTTTTTCTCACCCCACCCAAGTGGGTTACTTCAGCTACTTGGGTCCCCCGCCTTCGTGTAAACAGGCCCTAAATGTTACAATTTGCTATTCACAACTAATAAATAATTGAATAAATAATGACCGCGTGACATTTAATGTTACAATTTGCTATTCACAACTAATAAATAATTGAATAAATAATGACCGCGTGACATTTAATACAACATGCCATTTATTCAACCTAGCACCATCGTCTCGTTTTTACAGATAATGATGATGCTGACTTTGAGAATGGCCGCCTTGGGATGTGGAGTAATTCTAAAAGTGACAACTCAGACTGGAGGTTTCATCGGTCCTACACGCAAACTATTGATACTGGACCTAGTGCTGATCATACCACTGGACCAGGTTTGTATTTTTGCATTGCCTCTATTAGGCGCATGCCCATATAAGCAAATTGTACAAATTAAACAAAAAGAGCCTCTAGCCTCCACGGATGACACCCTCTTCGATCTGCTTTATAGAGAGAAGAAGTCGTTACGTCACGTTGCCATGGTAGCAAAAAATTTGGATGACAACAAAGCGAAAAAGTCACTTAAAAGTCTATTCGCACTATTTTAAACTTCACCGATCTTATTCAATTTAA